TGCCCCACCCACATGACAACAGGAGAGTGCAACTTCCCTTCTTGCAACTTATTTCACCCAGAAATGTGTCACTCATCAATCCATGGAAGAAAATGCTACAATGCATACTGCCAGGCACATCATCTAAAGGGGACTAGAAGACACAGACCAGCCAGACTATGGGAAACAAAACAGAGGAGCCACAACCTCTCCAGGGACAGAGATTTTTATAGGGCCAGAAGGGAAAAAAGACTGGCAAGAAATGACAATAATCCTACACCACCTAAAAACCCTTCTGGAGCAGAGGCACGGACAGTGGCCTCTACCCCAGAACAACAGATATTAGAGCCAGCAAATAAAACCCCCCTGAATTCCACCAATACGACATTTGTCTTTGCAAACATACAGGGTCTAAAGCCGTCATAAAACAACAAAATTCCTTACATCAAGGGACTGCTCACAGAGTCAAATACAATGTTTGCAGCATTCACAGAGATCCACATAAAGGATCATTATGACAACGAAATATGGATCCCAGGTTATAACCTATTCTGCTGCGACAGACTAAACAGGCAACAAGGGGGGGAGGGGGGAGTTGGCCTCTATGTCACAGAGTCGCTCATTTGCACGAACTACTAAATACCTCAAATGATGAAGTTGAAGTTTTGGTGGTAAAGATCGAAAACCAAAACCTTGTCATTGTGGTAGTATACAAGCCTCCAGATGCAACTTCCCAGCAATTCCAGGAGCAGTTTGAGAAAATTGACCACTGCCTGAAAAATCTCCCGACTCCTGCCCCAAACATCTTACTACTAGATTACAACCTGAGACACCTAAAATGGAGGAGTATAGCAAACAATGTTTTAGCAGAGATCACTCCGGGAGGCAGCTCAGATGAAAATTCACACACACACACGAACTTAAACCAGAAAATAGTAGAGCCTACAAGACTAGAAAATATGCTGGACATCATCTTCACTAACAATGATGATATGATATGTAATATAACTGTATCAAAGACAATACACCAAGATCACAACATAACAGAGGTACAGACATGTATGCACAGGGCTCCTGACCAGCAAAATGTGAGCAGTCATGAAGGTCTCTTCACGAAATTCAATTTCAAAACAAAAACATACAATGGGATCAAGTAAACCATGTCCTAAATGAAACAAGCTGGGAAGATATCCTAAACAACACGGACCCGAAGATCTGACTTGAAAAAAAATGAATTCTGTGGTTCTTGAGATCTGCTCAAGACATATTCCATTAAGAAAAAGAAAGATAAGATGTAAACTAAAAAGAGAGAGACGTTCCCTATACAGACAAAGGCGAAGAGTCACAGAGCTGCTGAGTGGGGTCAATACATCTGAAATACGAAGGGAAGCAATAGTCAATGAAATTGCAAGTGTCGAACTTAAGCTGAAGGAATCTTATAGGAGACAAGAATCACAGGAAGAACTAAACGCCATAAAGGAAATTGAAAAAAAAAAATTCTTCTCTTATGCCAAATCTAAGGGAAAAACAGCATCCAGTATTGGGTCTCTGCTTAGGCGGGATGGGACATACGCAGATGATAGCCAAGAAATGAGTGAGATATTAAAGCCCCAATATGACTCAGTGTTTAGCAATCCACTGCCCACTCTAAGGATCGACAATCCAAATGAATTCTTTATGAACAAAACTCAAAATTTGGTCATCCCAAAACCCTCGGATATTATTATAACTCCACAAGATTTTGAAGAGGCAATTAATGACATGCCCATGCACTCTGCCCCAGGCCCAGACTCGTGGAACTCCGTGTTCATCAAGAACTGCAAGAAGTCCGTATCGCGTGCCTTCAGCATTTTATGGAGAGGGAGCATGGACACAGGGGTCATCCCATACACACTAAAAACAACAGACATAGCCCCACTCCACAAAGGTGGCAGTAAAGCAATTGCAAAGAACTACAGACCGATAGCACTAACATCCCATATCATAAAAATCTTTGAGAGGGTTCTAAGAAACAAGATCGCCAACCACCTAGATACCCATCAGTTACACAACCCAGGGCAACGGGTTTAGAGCAGGTCGTTCCTGCCTGTCCCAGCTACTGGATCACTATAACCAGGTCCTGGATACTGTAGAGGATAAACAAAATACAGATGTAGTATACACAGACTTTGCAAAAGCTTTCGATAAGTGTGACCATGATGTAATAGCACACAAAATGCGGGATAAAGGAATAACGGGAAAAGCCATGGTAAAAAGTTCTGTTCCACAAGGCACAGTACTCGCTCCCATTCTATTCCTCATCCTCATTTCTGACATAGAGATGTAAGCCATAGCTGCGTGTCTTCCTTTGCGGATGACACCTGGATCACCATGGCAGTGACCTCCATCGAAGACACTGCGAGACTCAAAGCGGACATCAACCAAATTTTCGAATGGGCCACTGAAAACAATATGAAGTTCAACGAGGAGAAATTTCAACTACTCAGATATGGGAAACTTGAAGAAATTAAAAATGTGTCAGGGTATACAACAAATTATAACCATGCAATAGAGTGGAAAAGTAATGTGAAGGACCTGGGAGTGATAATGTCAGAGGATCTCGCCTTCAAAGACCACAACAATGTATCTCCCTCATCCACTAGGAAAATGATAGGATGGATAATGAGAACCTTCAAAACTAGGGACGCCAAGGCCATGATGATTCTCTTCAAATCGCTTCGCTTGTGCTCTATAGGCTGGAATACTGCTGTACACTTCACGGTTGGCAACATTGCAGACCTGGAGAGTGTACAAAGAACTTTCACAGCACACATAAGTGCAATAAGGCACCTAAACTACTGGGAACGGTTGAAGGCCCTTGATCTGTATTCCCTAGAACGCAGGCGAGATACATGATAATATACACTTGAAAGGTCCTGCACACGAAAATCAATCCATATGAAAGCAAAAGACTCGGCAGGAGATGCAACATTTCCCCGATGAAAAGCAGGGGCGCCACGAGTACACTGAGAGACAACACAATAAGTGTCCGGGGCCGAAGACTGTTCAATTGCCTCCCAGCATACATAAGGGGAATTATCAATAGACTCCTGGCTGTCTTCAAGAAGGCACTGGGCAGGCACCTAAAGTCAGTACCTGACCAACCGGGCTGTGGTTCGTACGTCAGCTTGCGTGCGGCCAGCAGTAACAGCCTGGTTGATCAGACCCTGATCCACCATGAGGCCTGGTCTCAGACCGAGCTGCGGGGGGCGTTGACCCCCGAAACCCTCTCCAGGCAAACTCCAGGGGCTCCTGTTCTATGGAATTGGACCAATGCTTCAATTCCTTGAATCAAGCCTGAATGCCTTCCATTCCCGAGGCACTGTATGACCCCTATGGGTTTAGTGCTCCCCCATGAATGTAACAATCATTGCTATTTGTAATTCCTCTCACGTGTCAAGCTAACTCAAACTCAGTGATATCTCTTAGTTTTCGAAATTAAATCCATGGTGTTAAGCTCTGTTCCATGGGTTATATGCGAGATATATGACCCACGGGTCTGGCGCTTATTTTCTGTGGAATTTTTTTTTACATAATTTCCTAAATGAAGAACATATAAATAAATGATATAATAACTGCATATTAAAATGTGATGCTATTTGGACCCTTCAAGAAATTTCGAGTGAAGGGGAGGCAGAACAGCTGGGGGAGTGACGCCGGGGGGTGACGCCATATTGAATTTAATGTGTGGACACTGGACTGAATTGTGCAATGTAATCAGGCGTTCTTGAAGGTCAGCTGGTGTATATCGGCCTCAATCCGTAATTTAGAAATTGCTGACACGTTCCTGCTGAAGAATTGGGATAGTGTGGAAAGCTCTTACAATTCGGCAACGAGGACGGAAAAATAGAGGACACCAATTCTCCTAGGAGCACACCTGAGCTAAGTGATGCTTACCCATAATGTACAGTAGTTTTTGCATTGGCCATCGTAAATTCTAGCTGTAAGGGTAAGGTTAGGGTGTGTTCCATCAGCACTGTCTTCCTGTGACAAATGGTAAGTGGTAATATGAATTTCTTTTGTGTACCCAGCAAGCCTAATCATATACAGTCCACATTATTATATAATTTACCATTATCGGTATTAATTTTTAATATTGTAATTATTAATTTAATGTCAGGTCTAGCTTTTTGTGTGAGTAGTGATGAAGTGGACATCGAGGGAGTTACAGTCCTGCGACTCACTTATCTCAACCAAATTACTTGCCTGTAATAACTCAGGCAATATGTATAAACCTTATGCAGGTAATTTGCTCACATAATAATAATAATAATAATAATTCAAACATTTTCAAATAATCTACTACTACTGCAGCGCTGTTTGACCCTTATGGGTTTAGCGCTTAGTTATTGTTATAATAATAATACTGTTTCAATTGCTATTATTATTATACTTCTATTAACATTATTTGCCCCACTTACGGTGTCCCGTAGCTCGATTGCTAGCTCACTCAGCTCACACACTGAGGTCCAAGGGTTGATCCCCGGTACGGATGCAAACATTAGGACGTGTTTCCATAAGACACCTGTTGTTCATGTTCACCCATCAGTAAAATGGGTACCTGGGTGTTGGTGGACTGGTGTGGGTCGCATCCTGAGACAAAACTGACCTAATTTGCCCGAAATGCTCAGCATAACAAGCGGCTTTCTATATAGTAATATGTCAGTGATGTCAGCTGTGGTCTGTATACCTTGTACATGTACTTGTAGAAATAATAATAATAATAATAATAATAATAATTATTATTATTACTATTATTATTATTATTATTATTATTATTATTATTATTATTTATTATTACTTGGGTTTAGTGCTTAGTTTTGATAATAATAATAATAATGGTATTGCTGCTGCTGCTGCTACTACTGCTGATGCTGCTATCACTAATGCTAATAATAATAATAATAATAATAATAATAATAATAATAATAATAATAATAATAATTACATAGTTGGAAAGTGTGGGGTACTGAAAGAAATACTAGAGGATGAGGTTTATTAATATCCAGCTGACATATTGTGCCTGAGGGCGAGTGATATTGAATTTAATGTTAAGAGATAACACATAAACAACATTATATTCATCTAGCTCTGCTAAAGAATGAAATTTGACAATGGTGTACCATGAAACTAGTTATGTTTAAGGAGTAATTATAAAACAAACCAACAGACCACCTTCGTACATAATTATCGTCAAACTCAGCCAAGAATCGTTCTCCATACTGACCAAACATTATATCAGATCACGCAGGCAATACATTTTCCGACTATGTTCCTGTGAGAAATATTTACAATGGTAATATAATTTTGTCTGAGTTTAAGATATATACCCCTTCAAGGGAGGTTTCTTGATGCCGGTGAGGGGTCTCTTGATCCAAGGAACTGGACCTGTTTCCCCCTTCCATGGAAGGAACCTGATTTCTTCTATTTCCCCTAGGCGCTGTATGACCCTTACGGGTTTAGTTCTTCCGGCTAATATTTAGTTTAGGGGCTTCACGATACTAAACCTTTATTTTCATTATCATAATACAAATAATCTATCCATATCTAGGCAAAATAGTTATTTCTTGTGTATTTTTTTTTTTTTTTTGAAGGGAGAGGGGAAAAATTAGTAACACAATTTTTTTTCAAGGAGGGCGAATATATTTAGTAAAATAAAGAGTTGAAGTTGTAATAATAGCAACACCAGAGCAATGTCTCCCGAGTGTAATACACAAGACGGAGTTTAACAATTCGCAACTTTTATGGACAAGACGAACATGCATTACAATTACAGTAAATGTAAGTACATATGTTCATTAATTACTGAACAGATTAAGTTTCGTTAGCTTAGGGTTGGTTGGGTTACGTCGGATTAGGTTAGGTTAGGTTAGGTTAGGTTAGGTTAGGTTAGGTTAGGTTAGGTTAGGCTACATTATGTTAGGTTGGGGTTGGCTGGGTTACGTTAGGTCAGGTTGGGTCAGGTCAGGTTAGGTTGGGTTGAGCTACATTAAGTTAGGTTGGTCGTAACAGTTAAATGGAGCTTTTTTGGGCTTATTCTCGAGTGAAAATATTCCCAGAAGGAAGCATATTTTCTCATTATGCACAAATTAAAAAATACTTTCAATGCACTAACTAAAAAAATTGGACACTTTCAATTATAAATTTGGTGAAACTCGGCGGAGCTCCTAAACTAAATATCTATGTGCTTCCTCATAATAATAATAATAATAATAATAATAATAATAATAATAATAATAATAATAATAATAATAATAATATATACAGAAAATAATGAGTAGAGGATAATTTTCTTATAAAAATAAGTGATACATTAACAAAGGGTTAGAATTCATGAAAGAAAACTGCATAGAAAAGCTGTCCAGTAACTTTTATCAGGAAGCAGGAAAAGTTGGAACAGAGATCCTAGCATTATATTGGTAAAATTTTCTACGTACTAAGTATAATTTAAAACACTAGATATAAAATGAAATGTTTATGATATATAAAACTATGATACTGTGTATTGAGATGGACTCGATGCTGCGGCAATATGCACACTTTACAGAAATCGTTAAGCACACTAGTACACGTAGATTTTATCTCCATGTTAGTTCTTGAAGAATGAGAGACACTTGAAAGTTAAGACACATGTGCAACATCCGGTTATCTTTATTTCGCCATCCAGTGGCTTTATCAATACAGATTCTAGGACATAAACAGAAGGCAGTAGAACTATATACAAAAGATGAGGTAACCTCATCTTTTGTATATAGTTCTACTTTCTAATTATGTCCTAGAATCTGTATTGATAAAGCCACTGGATTGCGAAATGTCTACAATAACGATAACCAGATGTTGCACATGTGTCTTAACTTTCAACTTGTCGGTATTGTATACCTTTCTTGCACAATGAGACACTTGTCCAACATTTGGGAATCTTTATTGAGGAATCTGATAAGTGTGATGAAAATGGTTTTGAAAACCGACAAGTTGAAGAATGAGACACTTGTGCAACAATAAAGATTCCCAAATGTAGCCCAAGTGTCTCATTTTTCAACATGTCAATTTTCAAAGCCATTTTCATCACACATGTTAGTTCTTGCTGAAGGGCTTTTGATCCAAGGAATTGAGGTTATCCTCCGCTTCCTCGAACCTCATTACCTCCAATGTTTAGGTGTTGCAAGACCCCTTTTCCCGGAATAAAATAATAATATAAGTGTATTTTGAGCTCGGTACTCTTTTTGAGGGAAAAATAACGTACTGTATGTGCATGTATTGTGGTGAGGAGCTGTGTTTTAAGTCATGTAGAGTGGATCACCTTATTTTTTTATTTTGAAGATTTGTTCTGTATGACCCCTACGGTTTTAGTATTCTCCCTATGAATAATTTTGCGTAAGTACGTGTGGCGATTAGGGCAAGGAGCATAAATATCCTCCCCCCCCCCGGCCCATGAGTGCAGATAATACCAGTCTGAAGAAGTATGTGTGTGTGGATGTTTAGTGTTGAGGCAGTAAATTACCAAACGGATTATCTTGCCTTCTATAATAAAGAAAAAGGATTTGAGTTTATTGCTGCTCTGAATTATTCCTAGAAAGGTTTTTGAACAAGCTTATGTTCACAGTGTTTAGGTCAGATTAGGTTTCTCATATGATGACACGAAAAAGCTCACCTTGGTGCGAAACGTACCTTTGTAAAGGGCATATTTATCGACGTTGTCCCTTCTTACGGGCGGCGCCAGAATTTATATACTGGAGGAAGGGGGCTTAGGGTTGGCTATCTGGTTGGGAGGCGGGACTAGGAGAATTTTTAAAGCATCGTTATTATTGTTATATGGGGGTCTTTGGGGAGGCTTCTGAAATTTTGGAGGGAGCTGAAGTACTCCCAACTCCCCTCTTGCTGTCTCTTCCCATCAGTGCCTGCGATACAAAGTCAAATAATTTTGATAACGAGTGTATGATCTCACTGTGTGAAAGTTCGAGACTGCATCTATTTTGGCAAACACAATATCGTCCTCAGCAACATTGTACATAGCCTAACGCAAAAGTTTTTTTTACTTTATGCGCATAAGCCCATTTGTATACACTATTTAGACGAAGTTAATGTCACTTAACCAGATTTAATTAATTATAATATATATTACCATCGACAGAGGCACTGTTATATAAAAGGGAAACTTTTCATGCACGAACAAGAAGCTGCAACCACCGATAAGACTAAGAGAGCTCGGCCAGTTAGGTAAGATTCGTCAGGAAACAGGACAGTTGTTTCCCAACGCGGGTCATAGTCATATGATGACCCACCACAGGAATTTTTGGTCATCTGACCGACGCCGGAAGGCGTCGGTCAGATTCATTACTGACGGTAATGAATCACAGTAAAATCAAATCTAACTCAGTAGCATATGAACACAAACTGGCTTAAGCATACAAGATAAACACAACGTTGACGTTAGGAGGAGTGACCGAGTTTTAATCTCACCCATTCCTGGTCCAGGACATCGCTACCGTCAATGATAAATGTCATACAAGTTTTGTAAAGAACATTAAGGCTTACATAGTGAATTGCGTTAATCATGGCACTATTGCAAGAAGTGAATGTGGTAGCAGCGTCTACGCCATGATGCATTAGAATACATGAATATTCTTAACTGTACCATTCCATGTTTGATTTATATGAAGATGATTTTATTCCGGTTGCTAACCCAGGATAACCAAAGAAAACCAAACAATTTCTCTTATTACTGTTTCGGTCCTTCATTTTTTTACAGGAGAACCACAATAGTCAATTAATTCTAAAATACCTATTTACTTCTAGCTGCACATAATCAGCAGGTGTAACAAGACCTGTACTTACATCATGCCTCGGTCTGGTATCAAATTTACGTGGCGATATTCAACACTGGCAGAAAAACTTCATCTGTGATATCGGTAGGGTCTGGCGGGGAGAAGTTTGAGGGGACAGTGCGGATCCAGAGTGCTGTAGGGGTGTTTTGGCAGCCCAGGTAGCGGTGGTGGAGTTCTCTCCATGTGAAGGGAGGTGTCACATCACATGGTGCACCGAAGATGGTCCGTCGCAGCTCCCCACCTGAACCATCGTAGCTTGTGGGTGTGGACAGCCGCACTGCACTCATCGATGCCTGACCAACGAAAATACCAAGACTTAATTAGTATGAATGGGTTGTCTTTAACTTTCGTCAGTTACAAATTACACACACACACACACATTTATATAAATAACCAAAAGGCACAATACCGTGACTGGAACGATACACAAATAACCCGCACATAAAAGAGAAGCTTACGACGACGTTTCGGTCCAACTTGGACCATTGACAAAGTCAATGGTCCAAGTCGGACCGAAACGTCGTCGTAAGCTTCTCTCTTTTATGTGCGGGTTATTTGTGTATATATATTATATATATATATATATATATTATATATATATATATATATATATATATATATATATAATATATATATTATTATTGTACCCACGGACAAGTGGTATTGATCAATAACAACACTGGGACTAGCCAAGGATAGAACCCATGCTGCTTTGGCTTGCCTCATGGTGGGCGAAAACTCATGATGCCTTAATCCACGGGACCACACAATCCTTAAAAGTAGCCTACCTTGAGGCAGGCCAAAGCAGCATGGGTTCGAGTCCTTGGCTAGTCGCAGTGTTGTTATTGATCAATACCACTTGTCCGTGGGTACAATAATATATATATATATATATATATATATATATATTATATATATATATATTATATATATATATATATTATATATATATTTGGTAGATTGGTATAGCACTGCGTACCTTGTTCCAAGGTTCGTAGGTTCGAGTCTCCTTCAGCCAGAGATCAGTGTTTGTGTATATTTCGCCTGCTCTTGCGAATTCCTTGCATTGTTAAAATCTCTAGTAAGGTTGATGCATGCAGGGGATGAGATGAAAAACTGCAAGCCTTCTCCCTGAAAGCTGGCTGCCTTGGATCAACGTGTAGCGCAAGCTGCACGCCAAGGTATTGTCCAGTGTGGGTAGATTGGTATAGCACTGCGTACCTTGTTCCAAGGTTCGTAGGTTCGAGTCTCCTTCAGCCAGAGATCAGTGTATATATATATATATATATATATATATATATATATATATATATATATATTATATTATATATATATATATAAAACAATCGCAGATAGGCAATCTTAACATTGCAAGACAAGCCACGGGCGATCTTTAACCATGTTAGCTCGCGCAATCACCTACCGGGGTGGGCTGCCGTCCAGATAATTGTACCCAACAGTTCCATCATGGAAAGAAACATAATAGAGTGCTCCCTCTTGAAACATGATAGGAATGCCCTATATAACTCAAATTATGGGCTATACAAACTCGATAGTTATTCAGTGGAGTCAGTTGTGCACAGCCTCAAACAACAATGTTATACAAAAGCACAGGATTGCTCCTTATGCCAGGGGGTTTCGTGATGTTTTGGTCATGTTCGACCAGAGTCTGTAAACTGAACATCATGGTATGCCCGTCGCGCGTGTACGTCGATATAATATATGACACCTTGTTAAGTCCTTTGCGAACGTCGATATTTTAATATGTTAGGTCTGCCGTCGGTATAACTCAGCTGCTGCTGCATACAGGTATCATAATGCGACAGGTGCTCTATGTAGTGTGCCGCAATACAGGCTGCAACCTGAGCGGTATAACATCTGTAGTAAGGAAGTAGGTATGTGGGTTCATTTAGGTATGTGGGCACATGTGTGATCATCCTAGGATAGCCCAAAAGAAATGTAGAGTGACCTATTGTGGTCCTAAACCCGTCTATGTACAGTGGTACAAGGTACACAAGGTACACAAGGCACATAAGGTACACAGGTGGTTGCAACATGGTGATTGCAACTAGTTTAGTGGTTTAATGAATTAGATTGTTGGTAATATTATAATGGTAATGATAATAATAATGGTAGTGGGTGATACTTGATAATAATGATAGGAATGACATTAAAATTAAGAATAACCTAGTTATTATAAGAAAGAAAGCCTGAATAGGAGAATTCACACAGGCATGTTAACTAACACTGAGAGTATTCCCTGAATATTCTGGAAGGTTCTGCGACACTGGTTGACAAATGAGGGATTTTTCCCTCTATTTCATAAGTTAGAAGGTTGTAAATGAAGTTATGTAATGATCCACTATTGTAATGTAACTTATTGCATCACTTGACCTGTTCTCAGCGGTTAGAAGCTTAGGGCTGGCTATTAACTATCTTCTAGTATTTTCCTCATGCTATCTGCCAAGTGTGAGGCCTACTCCACCCGACCCCATATGGGGTGGGGGTGTGGGGAGACCAGTGTATGGTTGGCATCCTGCTTCCCTCTCTCAGACAGAGACTGGCTGGTGCCTCCACACTGCCATTCTAACTTCCATACTCTGAAAACTTACCCTACTTCTCCTGTTGCTGCCTTTGCAACACTGCAGCACAGCTCTTGATGGCACACTGAGAATTATGAAAGTACTTGACCTAAAGATTTCCACCCTCGTGGCTTGTTTATTATATATATATATATATATATATATATTATATATATATATATATATATATATATATATATATATATATATTATTATATATATATATATATATAATTTGCGTGTGTGTGCTCACGTATCTATATGCACCTACTTGAGGTGGAAGGAATTGATTCTGGGATCCTGGCACCACCTCTTAACTTGCCACTCTTCAGATTCACTCCCTCTTAGCCTCGTGGGCCCTATCGTACCTGCTCTTAAAACTATGTGTGGAGCCTTTCTCCACCACTACTTCACTGAGATCATTTGGCTTCCCGACGGAAGAAATACTTCCTAGCATACCTGTGGCGCATCTGTGACTTTAACTTATAGCTGTGTCCCAGAGTTCTAGTTTCTCGCCTCAAACAGCTTATCCCTGTCTACCTGATCTGAGTATTTTGTATGTTGTCATTATGTATGTTTGTATACCATGTATATTGTTATCATACGCGCGTGCGTGTGCATATAGCATGTGTATTAGAGATGAGGTTGATATTACCTGTGTGTATTAGAGATGAGGTTGATATTATCTGTGTATATTAGATATGAGGTTGATATTACCTGTGTGTATTAGAGATGAGGTTGATCTTACCTGTGTGTATTAGAGATGAGGTTGATATTACCTGTATGTATTAGAGATGAGGTTGATGAGTATTACCTGATGAACGTGGGCTGTGCAGGAGTGGGTGTGGGCGTAGTGGGACCAGTGGGAAGAGAACTCCCTGCCCCATGAGTAGTCATCACTCCCGCCAGCTCCAAATACCTGTGGACACGACAGTCACCTTCACCACGTCCAGCATCATGACATTGGTCTTTTGCTGCCACTATCGTATTGACTTTTACATAGTGTGTATATCGTTGAGTAGGATATTAGACTTTCTGTATTATTCTAATATGTTTCAGTAGGAGGATATTACTTAAAAGCTCCTCAGTATTACTCTGAAGCTTCTCAACAAAAGAGTATTACGCTAAAACTTATCGATAGAAGAATATTTTTCTAAAACTTCTCTAAAGAAAATAATATTACTCTAAAATGCTTCAAGATATTATTTTTATTATAAATCCTTCAACATAATAAAAATATTCTTCAACTCTTCAAGAAAAAAATTACTCTGACACTCCTCTAGAGAAGAGTATTACTCTAGAACTCCTCACAGAAGAGTATTAATCTAAAATTCCTTAACAGAAGAATATTACTCTATAAGTCTTCAAGAGAAGAGTATTTAAAATCCTCTGCAAGAACGATGGGACAGAGACGAACAGAACACCGTGGTAGAAGAACTCACCTGAACGTTCTTGTGCTTCTTGGACTTGGCGAAGGCTGTGACGATCTCTCCAGCGTAGGATGTGTCGATGAGCAGTGTGACCTGGCGAGCCAGGCACTCCTGCAGGTCATGCAGTAACTCCCTCGGACTGTATGCCTCTCCTCCCCGTACCTGCACACAAGCTTATTTTATTACTACACTTGTACACTTACACCTGTCCTTATTACTACACCTGTACCCCTTGTCCTTATTATGAAATCCACAGGATAATGTATTACAAACACACAGTGAACAGAGCAGACATAGTCACAACATACAACTTACAGAGGAGACATGATCACAACATACAAAATACTCAGTTATTAAAAGGGTAGACAAAAACATTGTATTTTCATTCAGCACATGCAGGAAGTGATGAGTAAAACATTAATGTAAGTTTATAGGAAAGACATAACAGAAGACGTTAATGCTTACATCAAAACTCCTTAATGTTTACATCAAGGCTCCTTAATGTTTACATCAAAACTCCTTAATGTTTACATCAAAACTCCTTAATGTTTACATCAACACTCCTTAATGTTTACATCAACACTCCTTAATGTTTACATCAAAACTCCTTAATGTTTACATCAAAACTCCTTAATGTTTACATCAAGGCTCCTTAGAGTCACATCAAGGCTTCTTAGTGTTCACATCAAGGCTCCTTAGTAGAGTTAGAAGCATGCAGTGAGTGGGCGAGCGAAATATTATGAGTGAAGGAAGGGGTTTGACTGACCAGACCGTTGTGGTCCTCGTCCCACAGGAGGATGGTCCCATCGTTGAGGGCTGGTCCTGCTAGGAAGACCACCAAGGAGTCGGTACATAGCGGGGTAGCGCACAGTGATCGTAGGTGGTAGCGCAGCCCTAGCTTCATGGAGGACGGGAACACTCCGTGTTGTAGTGTTGGATCTGCCGATGAGGAGATACTGAGATCAGAGCAGGAGGTGTTGGGGTCAGACCAGGAGGTGATGGGGTCAGACCAGGAGGTGATGGGGTCAGACCAGGAGGTGATGGGGTCAGACCAGGAGGTGATGGGGTCAGACCAGGAGGTGATGGGGTCAGACCAGGAGGTGATGGGGTCAGACCAGGAGGTGATGGGGTCAGACCAGGAGGTGATGGGGTCAGACCAGGAGGTGATGGGGTCAGACCAGGAGGGTGATGGGTCAGACCAGGAGGTGATGGGGTCAGACCAGGAGGTGATGGGGTCAGACCAGGAGGTGTTGGGGTCAGACCAGGAGGTGATGGGGTCAGACCAGGAGGTGATGGGGTCAGACCAGGAGGTGATGGGGTCAGACCAGGAGGTGATGGGGTCAGACCAGGAGGTGTTGGGGTCAGACCAGGAGGTGATGGGGTCAGAACCAGGAGGTGATGGGGTCAGACCAGGAGGTGATGGGGTCAGACCAGGAGGTGATGGGGTCAGACCAGGAGGTGTTGGGGTCAGACCAGGAGGTGATGGGGTCAGACCAGGAGGTGATGGGGTCAGACCAGGAGGTGATGGGGTCAGACCAGGAGGTGATGGGGTCAGACCAGGAGGTGATGGGGTCAGACCAGGAGGTGATGGGGTCAGACCAGAAAGTGATGAAGTCAGACCAGGTGCTGGGGTCAGACCAGGTGCCGGGGTCATACCAGGTGCTGGGGTCAGACCAGGTGCTGGGGTCAGACCAGGAGGTGCTGGAGTCAGACCGGGAGGTGCTAGGGTCAGACCAGAAGGTGCTGGGGTCAGACCAGGAGGTACTGGGGTCAGACCGGGAGATGATGAAGTCAGGCCAGGTGCTGGGGCCAGACCAGGAGATACTGGGGTGAGACTGGGAGGTGCTGGGGTCAGACCAGAAGGTGCTGGGGTCAGACCAGTTGGTACTGGGGTCAAATTTATGACGTTTCGGTCCGAGTTGAACCATTAACTAGTCACACGTAAACATGTAATAACAGCTATATTTTTTCACTTTTAATTACTAGTTACGAGACTAGACGTGACTACCTCCATCCACCCTCCTCCACCGTCTCCACCCTCCTCCACCGTCTCCACCCTCCTCCACCGTCTCCACCCTCCTCCACCGTCTCCACCCTCCTCCACCGTCTCCACCCTCCTCACACCGTCTCCACCCTCCTCCACCGTCTCCACCCTCCTCCACCGTCTCCACCCTCCTCCACCGTCTCCACCCTCCTCCACCGTCTCCACCCTCCTCCACCGTCTCCACCCTCCTCCACCGTCTCCACCCTCCTCCACCGTCTCCACCCTCCTCCACCGCTCTCACCCTCCTCCACCGTCTCCACCCTCCTCCACCGTCTCCACCCTCCTCCACCGTCTCCACCCTCCTCCACCGTCTCCACCCTCCTCCACCGTCTCCACCCTCCTCCACCGTCTCCACCCTCCTCCACCGTCTCCACCCTCCTCCACCGTCTCCACCCTCCTCCACCGTCTCCACCCTCCTCCACCGTCTCCACCCCCTCCACCGTCTCCACCCTCCTCCACCGTCTCCACCCTCCTCCACCGTCTCCACCCTCCTCCACCGTCTCCACCCTCCTCCACCGTCTCCACCCTCCTCCACCGTCTCCACCCTCCTCCACCGTCTCCACCCTCCTCCACCGTCTCCACCCTCCTCCACCGTTCTCCACCCTCCTCCACCGTCTCCACCCTCCTCCACCGTCTCCACCCTCCTCCACCGTCTCCACCCTCCTCCACCGTCTCCACCCTCCTCCACCGTCTCCACCCTCCTCCACCGTCTCCACCCTCCTCCACCGTCTCCACCCCTCCTCCACCGTCTCCACCCTCCTCCACCGTCTCCACCCTCCTCCACCGTCTCCACCCTCCTCCACCGTCTCCACCCTCCTCCACCGTCTCCACCCTCCTCCACCGTCTCCACCCTCCTCCACCGTCTCCACCCTCCTCCACCGTCTCCACCCTCCTCCACCGTCTCCACCCTCCTCCACCGTCTCCACCCTCCTCCACCGTCTCCACCCTCCTCCACCGTCTCCACCCTCCTCCACCGTCTCCACCTCCTCCACCGTCTCCACCCTCCTCCACCGTCTCCACCCTCCTCCACCGTCTCCACCCTCCTCCACCGTCTCCACCCTCCTCCACCGTCTCCACCCTCCTCCACCGTCTCCACCCTCCTCCACCGTCTCCACCCTCCTCCACCGTCTCCACCCTCCTCCACCGTCTCCACCCTCCTCCACCGTCTCCACCCTCCTCCACCGTCTCCACCCTCCTCCACCGTCTCCACCCTCCTCCACCGTCTCCACCCTCCTCCACCGTCTCCACCCTCCTCCACCGTCTCCACCCTCCTCCACCGTCTCCACCCTCCTCCACCGTCTCCACCCTCCTCCACCGTCTCCACCCTCCTCCACCGTCTCCACCCTCCTCCACCGTCTCCACCCCTCCTCCACCGTCTCCACCCTCCTCCACCGTCTCCACCCTCCTCCACCGTCTCACCCTCCTCCACGTCTCCACCCTCCTCCACCGTCTCCACCCTCCTCCACCGTCTCCACCCTCCTCCACCGTCTCCACCCTCCTCCACCGTCTCCACCCTCCTCCACCGTCTCCACCCTCCTCCACCGTCTCCACCCTCCTCCACCGTCTCCACCCTCCTCCACCGTCTCCACCCTCCTCCACCGTCTCCACCCTCCCTCCACCGTCTCCACCCTCCTCCACCGTCTCCACCCTCCTCCACCGTCTCCACCCTCCTCCACCGTCTCCACCCTCCTCCACCGTCTCCACCCTCCTCACCGTCCACCCTCTCCACGTCTCCACCCTCCTCCACCGTCTCCACCCTCCTCCACCGTCTCCACCCCCTCCCACCGTCTCCACCCTCCTCCACCGTCTCCACCCTCCTCCACCGTCTCCACCCTCCTCCACCGTCTCCACCCTCCTCCACCGTCTCCACCCTCCTCCACCGTCTCCACCCTCCTCCACCGTCTCCACCCCTCCTCCACCGTCTCCCACCCTCCTCCACCGTCTCCACCCTCCTCCACCGTCTCCACCCTCCTCCACCGTCTCCACCCTCACTCCACCGTCTCCACCCTCCTCCTCACCGTCTCCCCCTCCTCCACCGTCTCCCTTACAACTAAAATAATGCAACTATTTTTCCGTTTCAGTTCAATGCGTGCTCATCATGATCTCACAACCACTCCATCCCACCGTTCGTCCTCCCTTCCAGTTCCTTCTTCTACTCGCTTCTCTGTCAAAATTATATTGTGAAATATCCTGTAAAGTTTTTGTCTTGCAAGACTTCATATGTTAGAAGTTTCCACATACTTATGAGGTGTGTATGCAAGTGAATATCTCACCTCATGCCCTGAGCTTAATCGCTGTCGTCATTCCCTGAGTTTTATCTTCATTATTCCTCGTTTTTTACATTCGTTGTAGGATTATATACTAGAAAAGTTCTCCTAGTCTTGGCAAGAACTCTGCATTTTTCGTTTCCGTTAACTTTAAAGAGTTGTACCTGCGTGAATATCTCTCACACTTCCTTACTTAGACCATGTTGGTCATTATTTACAACCTTTGAGAGGACTTTGATCTGTCGTCCATGTATTGCCATTATCTTTTTCTCAGTATTTGTGATAGGACATTTACTATATCTAGAAAAATTATCTGTGGCAGAATCTTGCAGTTTGATTGATGTTTAACTTTTAAGAGTTTTTGTGACCTGGTAGAATTCCGACATTTTACTTCAGTCATCGAGGTAATTTAGCATTCATAAACTTGTGAAGAGTGACACTTTAGTAGATACTGTTCGGGTCCACTGTGACGTTATTCATTACTTTGTTCTCAGTTAATCTAAAAGACTGTATAAATCAAAGAATTTCTTATAATCAGAAAAAAAAATCTATGGAACAGATCTTGTCAGTCTTGACTCTGGAATGATATAACCAGGCTCCTGTTTTTCGTGACTGCGTCAGAATTCCACATTTTACTTCCTTATAATGAAGGAAGTTTGAGTCATTCAGTAAGACTGTGTGGAGTGACACTTCCCTGATAGTAGACTAACACTGGCTACTGTGTCTCACTTAACTATTTTATAATTCATTGATTGGCTTATGTTTTGTCTATCTTTAAATCATCTTAAAAGTATTATATAAATAAAGAATTTGCATTCAGATGTGGAGAGAAAATGCGAAGAATAAAGAACAACAGAGGATTTTATTACGACATAGACACTTCTCCAGACAATAGAGCCAGTGGACGAGGGTGAACTTCACCAGTGATCAAACAAGTGAAAGATACGTTGACGACATTTGTGCATCACTTGGGTATCTACTGTGGAAACGTTTCGCCAACCAGTGCTTCTTCAGTCCAATACAAGGAAGAAGGGCTGAAAATCAAGAGTTTGAGGCAATCAGTCCCTCAGCATATACTCGATGTAATCATATCGACTCCAGGCTGAGGGACTGATTACCTCAAACTCCTTTTAATCTTCAATCTTTCTTCTCTGTATTAGACTGAGGAAGCCGCTGGCTGGCGAAACGTTTCCACAATAAAGACACCCAAGTGATGCACATTTAACACAGTGACATTGGAAAATATTTCTTCAATATAAAAGTAGGTTAAGAAATAGATCATGTTGAAGAATATGATAGTGAAAGTAACCACCCCACGAGGGTACAGTGAAAGTAACCACCCCACGAGGGTACAGTGAAAGTAACCACCCCACGAGGGTACAGTGAAAGTAACCACCCCACGAGGGTACAGTGAAAGCAACCTCCCCACGAGGGTACAGTGAAAGTAACCACCCCACGAGGGTACAGTGAAAGCAACCTCCCCACGAGGGTACAGTGAAAGTAACCACCACACGAGGGTATAGTGAAAGTAACCACCCCACGAGGGTACAGTGAAAGTAACCACCCCACGAGGGTACAGTGAAAGTAACCACCCACGAGGGTACAGTGAAAGTAACCTCCCCACGAGG